ATTTTTTAGCATTTTTTGAGAGAGATAAAGCTTTATTTTGGTGGTATTTATTCACCACTGGGATTTTTTTATTTTTTTGCTATGTAAATGAAAAAGTCCACAAATTTTGAAAAACGTGTTATTCTTATAAAATTTGCAAATAAATAGTATTTAATCATAAATCTTGGCCAAAATTTATTCTGTTATCTTTTTAGTTAAAAAAAAACCCATATTAGTTTATAACCAAAATTATAATTTTTTAAACATTTTTTTTACATTTTTTTAATTTTTTTTATATCATTATTTATGTGTGTTTTTTTTTTACATACTTACTGTCACCCTAGCAGTACCATGGTGACAATGTACTACTTGTGTGGGGGGGTGATGAAGATTTTTGTTTTTTACACTGATTGCTTTTACACCCATATAGGATGTAAAAGCAATCATTCCTCTTTCTCTCTAGCTGCATTTTTGCAGCCATTGAGAAATACTGTGTGAGCTGTGATTGGTAACAGCTTGTCACAGGGTACAAGGCTGTTGTGAATAGCTTTGTACCATGTGACGTCTGTGATCATTCACAGATTTCACACATAGTAAGCAATGATATCAGAAGTGACATCTTGCTTACTACTCTGCATGTGATCACTGATTGGCCAATCAGTGATCACATGATCGGGACCTCGCACAGAGGTCCCAACCCGACGATCGGTGTTCCAATGTGTCCGGAGGACACAGCGGGCACCGGATCGTGGTGTGCTGCGCGCTCCCAGGATGCGCGTACAAGCAGGGTGCGGGGAGGCCATTTATAAATGGCCACCCAACCCTGCACTGCCACCGTCCGGCCGTTTATATACAATGGCCGGACGGGAGGTGGTTAACAATTCAAATGAGTCCACTGAACCTTACCTGTAATCTTTAAAGAATATGTGCATAATGAGTGAAAGAATTAAAAAAAAAATAACCATCATGTTTCTCTTTATTGCTGGGTGACTTAATGACAGCAACCCTAAAATAAGAAATTCTCTATATCACCCGCTATTGCACATGTCTTTTAGCATGAATGGAATGTGCTGAAAGAAGGAGGAAGATAAAGAATGCAATATTTTTCAGAGTATGAATTCCCAGTGTGCCTTCAGATATGTATAATCTTTGATCATGCCACCCAATCTTAAAGCAGAAATAAAACGGTCTCTGGCACCACAAACTGAAACATTATTTAGCTAATGTTTAGTATGCAAAGCAAACATCCCTATCCATCCATGTTTCCATGCTTTATTTTGTTGAGAAATCACTTTTAAAAAACACCTCCCTTGCATTTCTATTTACGGCCATCTTGAGTAAGGGCAGGTGATTCATGTAGCATTTACTTACTGGAAATCATTTGCTCTTAGCTCACGCATGCAGGAGGGTGTGTTTAGCTGAGAAAGTTCCTCCTCCTCTCCTCCAGATGAAAGACAATAATGCCCATGAAGACTCCTGGGATGTATGACATCAGTTTGGCCTAGGCCAGAAACCACGAAACAACTGAAGAAATGTAAAAAAAATGTAAACAAGTAAATACAATATACATTCCAATCTATTGACTAATGCTAGGGTTACAAATAAACTCTACTTTTTTCCTTAAAGCATTATCTGCATTAATGTAAAAAAAAAAACAAAAAACTCCCCACTTCCTAAGCTACTCACCCCCATCCCTAAACACTTACCTGACTGAGTCACTCCTCCAGCGCTTTCTCTTGCTTCCTGGTCTCACAGGAGACACTGAGAGCAGCTGGAGCCATAGCCTCCTATTGCTCTCAGTCAAACTCCTATGAGAAGGCATTTGGGGCGTGGCTTGCCAGTGCTGTTTGTGTCTGTGTTAGCACACAGCCCGGCTCAGGAGTGCACCCCCATGGTGCCCCCTTAGCACTGGACTTGCTGCCATAGCAAGAAGGAGCAGACATCAGCAGCAGAGGACTAAAATATTGGAGATAAGGAAACTGCTCTGTGCAAAATCGTTGAACAGAGCAGGTAAGCATAACATCTTATATAATAAAAAAATAAAATAACCTTTATCACTTTAATGTTGATTGAAAAAGTTTAGTCTTGCTTTAAAGCAGAACTAAAGGCAGTTTTTTTCACCATGCAGTGGGGCTGTGCACTACATGGGTTAACTACGCGTTTTTGTGTAGGGGATTGGAGAGTAGAGATATACTCACCTAACCAATTCTGCCAGACTTGTCCCTGCCGCTACTGCCCCCTGCTGTCCAGTGGTCTTGTGCAGTAGACTATTCCTGACATCATCATGTCCATAGACCGGCTCTGGACATGGGGACGGAAGGAACAGTCCACCGCTGGAAGTGGAGGAGCGCCGTTTTCCAGAGGATCGAAGGATCGGGTGAGTATAGGCTCTGTGTTCACCCCTAGACAAAACAAGCAGTTAACCCATGCATTGCGCTGCATAGGAAAATAAATTTGCCTTAAGTCCTGATTTAAGCTAGCCCAGGGAGCATGCACATCGAAAGCAAGAGCTGTGTTTCTGCAGATGACTTTATTTGGAAGATGGACAAGATTGGGTTTAATACGACCTTTCATGATCCCAGCATTAAAAGGAGAAAAGGAAAAAGTTAAAAGGGTGATCGCTTACATTGGCAAACAAGTTTGCTTTGTCTAGGTTTGTTTGTAAAAATATATAATCTTAGTAGAAGCTAAGATTTTTTTAAATGTGCACCTATTCTTTAAAGTGATTTTTGAATTCTATGTATTAAAGTAAAAAAACTTCCAGTATCAGCCCCCCCCCCCCCCCCAAATACTTACCTGGTTCCTCTGTTGATCCAGCACTGTGCGCAAGAGCAGCTCCGTTGCTATCTCTCTTCTCACAGGCACAGAGGCAGCAGTGGGAGCCTCTGCTCCTCCATTGGCTTTTGCTGCTGTCAATCAAATCCTGTGAAGAGGTAGTGGGGGTGAGGTCTAGCCATACTGTGTGTGTCAATTGACTCACACAGCCTGGCTCAGGATTGAGCCCACACATCTGCCCTCATAGCAAGTGCTTGCTTTGGGGGCTGACAGAAGAGCTCCAAGAGCGCCAGGGAGGGACCCCAGAAGAGGAGGTTCGGGGCTGCTCTGGGAAAACCATTACTTTCGAACAAGCTCTGTGACCAAGAGCAGCACCATTGCTCTGTCTCTCTCCTCACAGGCACAGAGGCAGCAATGGGAGCTTCTGCTTCTCCATTGGCTCCTGCTGCTGTCAATCAAATTCTGTGAAGAGGGGGTGTGGATTAGCCACACTGTGTGTGTCAGTTGACGCAAACAGCGTGGCACAGGATTGAGCCCACTTATCTGCCCCCATAGCAAGCGCTTGCTATGGGGGCGGACACAGAAGAGCTCCAAGAATGCCAGCAAGGGACCCCAAAAGAGAAGGTTTGGGGTTGCTCTGTGAAAACCATTACACAGAGCAGGTAATTATAACATGTTAATTATTTTAACTAAAAAAAGCTGAGCCTTAAAATGGTATAAAAACCCATACCAAAAATGTAATGTATTGCAGCTTACCAATCCTTAAATATGGTGGCTGCATTAGTTGTCTGTTTTTTGGCCTTGTTTCCTTTATTTTCACCTACTGATCCTGCCAGTAACATGCTTCCTGTTGTAACATATCTACACTCTGGATGGAGGAACAACAAAGACAGCAGCATTGTCAGTCTTGGGAGATGGTAGTGTTAGGTGCACTAGCAGATTTAAATTTGACTAACAAATTAAAGTGGTTCTAAAGGCTGAAGGTTTTTTTACCTTCATGCATTCTATGCATAAAGGGAAAAAACCTTCAGTATGTAGCTCGCCCCTCTACCCCCCCAATATGTACCTAAGCCCAATCTTGATCCAGTGATGTGCATGAGAGCAGAGGCTCTCCCGGGTTCTTCCATCCTCATTGGCTGAGACACTTTGACTCCCGCTGCTGTCAATCGCATCCAGTGAGGATGAAGTGGGGACAGGGAAGAGCCTCACTCTGTGTGTCTTATAGACTCAGCAGATGGGAGGAGCCAGAAGCACTGGTGGGGCACACAAGAAGAGGATGATCGGGGCTGCTCTGTGCAAAAAACTAGTGCACAGAGCAGGTAAATATAACTTGTTTGTTATTTTGTAAGAAGTTACAGAAACATTTTTTTAATGGGATAAAGGAATGTTTTTGAATTTAATATGTGGCTTTAAGATATTTCTCAAAATAGACATAGCACAGACTGATCTTTTTCTCTCCTCCTTTGTATACGTGTCCTATGGGTGAACTTGGCGTACTTCTATACCTTGTGCTTACAGCATGTAGTAACACCCAATATGCTATTGTACCTGCCTAATTATTATCCTCAGTGTAAGTAACTGTGCATTCTTTTTCAGCAAACATGTGACATTGCATCAACAACATACAATATTTTTAACTTGTTTAAATGACCCCCATTTTTTATTTGAAGAAAAGAACATAGTGGCAAGCTCTGTATACAGATCTTTGATAACGTACATGGACACAGTGAGACCTATATAGACCTAGCTGTTATCATTTTAACATACATCGCCTCTGTACCCTCGATTTGTTTTTTAAAGAAAATCCCTGTATAGATCTGATGAATCTATATACACTCTCTCCTCATTATCTCTGCTGGATGCACTGTTTCCTTCATTACAGAGCCTTGGCTAGAGGTCCTGACAATGCTTGATTCAATCCTAGAGGCAGTACATCTACCCAAGAGGCAAAAACCCTGGGAGAAAGAGTAGACAGAATCATCCTCATGGAGAAAAATCCATTTTCATAGAGCTTTTGTTTAGTACTGTGGGCCCAGACTGAATATATCTTCGGATTCTTATTGTATGTCTGCTGTTTCGTCAGTGTTCACACAGCTGTTAAACATTTTATGGCAAAGGCTTACTGCGTTCAGTGTTCCTTTTAGTAAAAACGACGCATTGTACTTTCAACTGAATGGGTTGTACTATGCTTGCTAGCTCTGCTGTCAGAAGCACATTTACTCTCTTATTATGTTTGGGAATTATAGATGCACAGCCCACGGAGGCAGAAACAGTAGTGTGGAATCAAGTCAACTCTGTCCTAGAAGAAGCCCAGAGTATCCTGGCTGAACTGCAATCCTACCGGGGTGCTGGGCAGGAAATAAGACAGGTGAGTTCTGTCCTGCACAGCTGACACTTATTAATGCTTGTACACATGATCAACTCTGTTCAGTGAGGTCTCATTCACAGAAGTGTACTACAGCATACTCCCAGAGGAGGACCGTGTTTGTCTGCATGGGGATGTCCAGGTGTTCCATGCATCCCTGTCCACAGATCCGATCCATTCTGCGGGGATTTTCGGAGAAGTGTCATAGCACCAGGTGACACCAACCCTATGGACGCCCCTGTCTCTGTACAGACTGTCCCGTTTATGTTAATGGGATTCAGCGGCTGCAGGAACACAGCTACTGCTCCCAATTTGACAGCCATGCAAGTGTGGGTGCACAACCCCAATCGCATAGTCTGCCCTAAGTACATGGGAAAACACAGCCCTCGCATGGGTGTATGTTGTAGTACGCCCGTGTGAACAAGGCCTTAGGCTCCATTCACAAGGGCATTTAGCCATGATCTGAATCCAGCAGCAAGCGTCTACCGATTCCTGCAGCTGGGATTGACAGCTGCATGTGTATAGTCGAGGCTGCCAAGCCTGTACAGCCTGTCATTGCAGTGTATGGGTTAAGTGGTTGCAGCTATCGATTCCAGTTGCAGGAATTAGTAGATTCTTGGCAATAGGATTTGCAGTGTGGCTAAATGCCCGTGCCAATGAAGCCTTAGACAACGCCAAAATCAGGTTGATGTGCAAAATATAGCAATCCAGCAACCAATTAGATTTAGGTTCCCTAGAATCAGACCAGTGCTTGTTAGACCACTGTACTCCATACATTTATCTTTACCTAACTGAATAATCCCCAATATAGAGAATGATTGCTAAATTGCTATTTTGCTTTTTTTATCTAAAATGTGTATGTATACCAGAACATGGATAAATGATTTTACAAGTATTCATCTCTGCCATGTGTTATCTTGCATTTGTGTTAGACATACATGCGAAGTCATATACTACAACGCACACTGTACAGCATCTGACTACCAAATTTGCAGCAAAGTACCCATACAGATAGTGTTGTTGACTCATTTAGAATGTTAACGATTTTATCCAGGACTGTTTAGTTTGGTTTTGGAATCTTTATTAAGCCAGCATAAAAGTCATGTTTCGGGGCCTTGGAGAACCCCTTTATCAAGGCCTAAGTGGCATAGTCTTTCAAGACTACAAAACATTTTTCCTAACGATTTTCATGCAAGCCTAACGTTTATCAAAATCCAAGAACAAAATGGAATATATTGCAGCTCACCAAGCTTTAAGATGTGGTAGCTACCAGGGGCGGACTGACAACTCATGGGGCCCCCCAGGCAATAGGGGATCATGGGGCCCCTGTGTCCTTGCCCAAACTAAAAAAGCCTATGAAAAAGGTACCAGGGGCATCTCATGGGGCCCCCTACTGACCCCGGGTGCTCGGGCATTGCCCGAGTTTCCAAATGGTCAGTCCGCCCCTGGAAGCTACATTCGTTTTCCTCTTTCAGGGTTCTTTTACTTTATATGTTCCGCGTGATCTTGCCAGTAACAAACTTCCTGTCCTAAGCTGATAACATTTACACACTGTCCTGTATCTATAGAGAAAGAAAACTGAAGAAATAGCAAAAAAAAAAAAAAAAAAAAAAAAGAAGAGGAAAGGATTTTAAACGGCACCAAACACTAATTAGGACAATCTTAATAATTGAGACTTTTATTACAATAGGTATTAAAACACTGTACATATAAACACATTATAGGAAATGGGTCCATAATAATGCATAGAAACCACCATGCAGCATAGGAAAATAATAATACATAGGATAACCCCAACACATTTCAATTCTTGACATCGAATCTTCATCGGAGGGAACGTCAAGGTGGTTATGTAGGACCAAAGATACAAAATTGTCTTATTTCATGAGGGATGAGGGTCTCCCCCAAACCACAGGACTGACCTCTAGCTATTGGAGAGCAAAGGATGCCGCAGATTTTTCACACTAATGGACTGTATGAAAAACCACAAGGCTTCAGGGTCCAATCAAAGTAAATGATGAAGGTTTTCCATCATGTTGAACCACATAGGTACAAAACAGTTGGTGGTTCAAACAAGAAAACATATATGTCTGTGTCAGTGCAGCGACCAGCCTGTCCAACAGTCAGCAAAAGCTACTTCATGTATCCATAGAGAAGCAGCTTTGTCACTGGACGACGGACTACAGAATAGACTCACCTCTCCTGTTCTCCGTGACATTGAGGTGAGGTGTTTTGTAGCTCACAGATGTAGCTAGAAACAATACCAGTCAACATAGAGAGCACAAGAAGTCAAAGGCTTGCAAGATTTCTGGTGGATTCAACAAATATTTGTTTACACTAATTAGACAGATATAACAAAATGCTTTCATTGGTATATTTAAAAGACCAAAAAGGACTATATACGAGAGGTTCATTGTTAGGATTTACCATATTTTTCACTCCATAAGACGCACCTAGTGTTTAGAGGAGAAAAACAAGAAAAAAAATATATTCTGAACCAATGGACTGCAGACATAGTACAGGAAACGACCAGAGACTGTGGATGTACTACAGGAGATGCCAGAGGCAGACAGAGACTGCAGACATAGTACAGGAGACGATCAGAGACTGCGGACACAGATACAGGAGACATACCAGAGACTGCGAACTGCATATACATATAGTACAGAGAGACATGTACAGGAGAGAGACTGCGAAGATAGTACAGCAGACGACCAGAGACTGCAGACATAGTACAGGAGACGATCAGAGACTGCGGACACAGTACAGGAGACGACCAGAGACTGCGGACATACTACAGTACAGAGACGACCAGAGACTGTACAGGAGACAGAGACTACAGGAGATGACCAGAGACTGCGGACATACTACAGGAGATGACCAGAGACTGCGGACATACTACAGGAGATGACCAGAGACTGCGGACATACTACAGGAGATGACCAGAGACTGCGGACATACTACAGGAGATGACCAGAGACTGCGGACACAGTACAGGAGATGACCAGAGATTGCGGACACAGTACAGGAGATGACCAGAGACTGCAGACATAGTACAGGAGATGACCAGAGACTGCGGACACAGTACAGGAGATGACCAGAGACTGCAGACACAGTACAGGATATGACCAGAGACTGCGGACACAGTACAGGATGACCAGAGACTGCGGACACAGTACAGGAGATGACCAGAGACTGCGGACACAGTACAGGAGATGACCAGAGACTGCGGACACAGTACAGGAGATGCGGACCAGACCAGAGACTGCGGACACAGTACAGGAGATGACCAGAGACTGCGGACATAGTACAGGGAGATGACCAGAGACTGCGGACATAGTACAGGATATGACCAGAGACTGCGGACAGGACATAGTACAGGAGATGACCAGAGACTTCGGACATAGTACAGGATATAACCAGAGACTGCGGACATAGTACAGGATATGACCAGAGACTGCGGACATAGTACAGGATATGACCAGAGACTGCAGACTTAGTAAATGGGATATGACCAGAGATACTGCGGACATAGTACAGGAGATGACCAGAGACTGCGGACTTAGTAAATGGGATGACCAGAGACTGCGGACTTAGTAAATGGGATGACCAGAGACTGCAGACCTTTGGAGAGCGGTGGGAGTAGGTACCAGAGACCCGAATTTGACAGGTACACGCTCCCACTTCCGCTGTGGTCGCCTAGGCTATTGGAAGCGGAAGTTGCCCTCCCTCCCTCCTCGTAGTATTCTGGGAGACGTGACAGGTCCCAGAAGACTACATGGCCATCCACAAAGCGCAGCACTTCTCACGCATGCGCAGTGGGCACCTGTCTGTGAAGCCGCAAGCTGTCGCAGCCAGGTGCCGGTGAGAGAAGACAGCCGGTGAAACCAGCGGTGATGAGGACACAGCTGGACCCAGGAACAGGTAGGATCGAGGAGTAGGTTCTGCTGCATAGAAGAGCCGAGCAGTCGGCCCGGTATTCTAACACAGCGGCGGCGAAGGGGAGAATACCGGGCTGGCCGCTCCATAAGACACACAGACAATTTTCCCCATTTTTGCAGGGGGGGGGGGGGAGTGCGTCTTATGGAGCAAAAAATATGGTACATACCATTTAATAAAATTCTTCCATATAAGACAACCAGACAATCTGGTCAATTATAAACAAAGGCAAAACTTTTTTTTTTTGTGAGGGGAGGGATTAGAACCCCTGCCAGGTTTTATCACTGCCTGTGCCTCTGTTAGGTGGATTCAGCCTCTCCATTTGTCATGTTTACTGTTATCACTGAAAGTGAAAGAAATCCCAACTTTTGGGTTGTCACCAGAACAGGATTAGAGGGGAAATCTTCCAATAGGTACACTAGTTCTGGTGGCAGGAAAAGGGTGAGGGATCGGAGGAAGAAGCACTAGATTGGAAGGTAATGGAGATATGAGAGGACTACTTACAGTAATAAAAGGGAGATCAGAAGACCGGTGATCTCAGTGGAGGTATCAACGGTCCCCTCCTCTGGAATCGGCAGTGACAAGGTTCCTAGAGGGAGGACTTAGGCGAGTATATAAGGAGGGAAAATGCTTATTGCAATGGGTTAGAGGTGGCCGTGAAGGGGATATAGTGAAAAAGTATCTTTAGTCTGGAGTGGATCTTTAACTACACTTCTGCTCATTTTCTTTGCTCAGACTTTACTAAATCTCCACAAGTTTATTTAATTGTACTTTGTTGCTAAAAATATATTTTTGTACTTGTTCTGAATGCCAGATCCACCCATTGGCATTTGACTTTGACTTGTGTGTGTTTACATAACCTCCATCTTTGCCCACACGAACAATGTACTGGTGCACAGTGTGAGAAATCAATGCTGATGACCTATAAGTCTGCTTCTTTTCTGTGCCTGTTTGTGGTCCACCTCTGGACACTTTTTAAAACGTATACTTTTACTGGAATCTAATCAGTACATTTTTAAAAAAGCTTAGGGGAGGGTTAAAGAATTAATCTAATCTAAACGGATTTCTCCTTTTTCCTTGGCTTCTGGCAGGCTTGATTTGATTACTTGGTGGCTTGTTGAATCTCCCAAGTAACTAATGAGGAGATTTCCTACTAGAGATCTTAGATTTTGTTACCTGGCCCCTTACATTTCATATTTCTGTGAAGGGACATGTGGCAACACTACACTACTCAAAGTAATACTCAAAGCAAAAAAGTGAATGTTTCTCATAGGAGGGAGAATGGCAAAGCAAGGATTTCACACAATCTAATTGTATTCTTTGTTTTTACAAGCTGGTAAGTGTTTAAAAAGACAACTTTAAGAATACGCAAAGCTGGAGTATCATGTAATTGTAGCATCTTTCAGCATTCTCTACTTTGCCGGAATGTGGGGCCATTCTTATCAGGCAAAGCTCTTCTGGCACTGCTGGGTAATGTTGGATCTGCTTTCTAAGCCATGCCCCCTAACATTCCTATTGGCTCATTACTATGATGAACTGCCTCACTGCAAATGGGAATGTGTGTGGGAAAGTGGGGTACTTTGGCAATGTTACAGCTTTGCCTGATCAGAAAAGCCCAGCATTCATTCAAACCAAAGCACATTGAAAGCTATGTGTCAACAGATTTTAGAATTATTGTATGCCCAAAGACCACTCAAAATCAAATAATACCTTAGAATTGTAGTGGGTCTGCTATGTGTATATAACACCAGCAAGAGTTCATCGCTTTGTTCTTTCTGTGCTATTTCTTTCTTTTAATACAAAACATCTTTATGACTCTTTGTTAGAGTTAAAGGACACATATAATGCCCAAGCCAACCAACAGTTTAAAACAAGAGGGATTAAAGCGCTCTACCTCCACTATCAGGTTTCATCCACTATTGGTGCTCATTCAGGCTCCTTGCAGCCTCTCAATCATCCAACCAAAAGGAAAAATAGTACCTTTATGTCTTTTCCAGCTTATATACAAGGCATTGTAGAGTTGCTAACATGTTTCTGCCAGTATGGCCTTACTCATAGCAGCGAGTTTCACCACTACTAATAGAAGCTAATATATTGTGTGCACATGAAATACATTTTTTAAAAAATGCATTAAAATGGATGATGTTAGCATAATGAAAGCACCCCAAAACAAATAAACATTTACAACATCAAATTAGGCACAAACATGTATTGGATAACAAAACAGAAAAGTCTAAGGCTACTGTTTGTGTGGTGGTCTGCTTAACCTCTGACTTGGAAGAAGAAACACTAAATTCACACAGATATGGTGGGGCTGCATTGGGCGGCTATCCTAGATTGTAAGCTCCAAGGAGCAGGGCCCTCCTATCCCTCTTGTATTGAACTGTATTGTTGCTGTATTGTCTCCCGTTATATTGTAAAGCGCTGAGCAAACTGTTGGCACTATATAAATCCTGTATAATAATAATATTTAAGTTCAGTCCCACAGCATGACAAGGTGAATTGCCTGTTCTCTGGAGTGTCAGGTTCACACAACCGCGTTGCAATGTTGCGCACTCAGTGAGAAAAGTACTGCATGCCATCCACTGCCTTGGACCACACGACCAGCAATGGAACTTAAATGTCTTTGTGACATTTCAATGAAGTTAATTTAACCACTTGCTGTCCGCCTGCTGTTTATAAACGGCAGGATGGTGGCACTCCAGGGGCGGGTTGCTGTTCATAAACGGCACCCGCCATTTCTAGCTGTGCACGCTCCCTGAGAGCGCGCAGCACCGCAACTCGATGCCCGCTGTGTCCTCCGGACAGAGTGGAGCACCAATGGTCGGATGGGACCTCTGTACAAGGTCCCGATCACATACAGTCATGGCCGAAATTGTTGGCACCCTTGATATTTCTCCAGGAAATCATGTATTTCTCACGAAACGTATTGCATTAACACATGTTTTGCTATACACATGTTTATTCCCTTTGTGTGTATTGGGACAAAACAAAAAAAGGGAGGAAAGAAAGCAAATTCGACATAATGTCACACAAACCTCCAAAAATGGGCTGGACAAAAGTATTGGCACCCTTTCACAACTGCGGATAAATAAGAATGTTACAAGCATGTGATGCTCCTGTAAACTCACCTGGGGCAAGTAACAGGTGTGGGGCAATATAGAAATCACACCTGAAAGCAGATAAAAAGGAGAGACGTTCACTTAACCTTTGCATTGTGTGTCTGTCTGTGCCACACTAAGCATGGACAACAGAAAGAGGAGACGAGAACTGTCTGAGGACCTGAGAACCAAAATTGTGGCAAAATATCAACAATCTCAAGGTTACAAGTCCATCTCCAGAGAACTAGATTTGCCTTTGTCCACAGTGCGCAACATTATCAAGAAGTTTGCAACCCATGGCACTGTAGCTAATCTCCCTGGTCGTGGACGGATGAGGAAAATTGATGAAAGATTGCAACGCAGAATAGTCCGGATGGTGGATAAGCAGCCCCAAACATGTTCCAAAGACATTCAAGCTGTCCTGCAGGCTCAGGGAGCATCAGTGTCAGCGCGAACTATCCGTCGACATTTAAATGAAATGAAACGCTATGGCAGGAGACCCAGGAGGACCCCACTGCTGACACAGAGACATAAAAAAGCAAGACTACAGTTTGCCAAAATGTACTTGAGTAAGCCAAAAGCCTTCTGGGAAAACGTCTTGTGGACAGATGAGACCAAGATAGAGCTTTTCGGTAAAGCACATCATTCTACTGTTTACCGAAAACGGAATGAGGCCTACAAAGAACAAAACACAGTACCTACGGTAAAATATGGTGGAGGTTCAATGATGTTTTGGGGTTGTTTTGCTGCCTCTGGCACTGGGTGCCTTGACTGTGTGCAAGGCATCATGAAATCTGAGGATTACCAAAGGATTTTGGGTCGCACTGTAGGGCCCAGTGTCAGAAAGCTGGGTTTGCGTCCAAGATCCTGGGTCTTCCAGCAGGACAATGACCCCAAACATACGTCAAAAAGCACTCAGAAATGGATGGCAAAGAAGCGCTGGAGAGTTCTGAAGTGGCCAGCAATGAGCCCAGATCTAAATCCCATTGAACACCTGTGGAGAGATCTTAAAATTGCTGTTGGGAAAAGGTGTCCTTCCAATAAGAGAGACCTGGAGCTGTTTGCAAAGGAAGAGTGGTCCAAAATTCCGGGTGAGAGGTGTCAGAAGCTTATTGATGGTTATAGGAAGCAACTGATTTCAGTTATGTTTTCCAAAGGGTGTGCAACCAAATATTAAGTTAAGGGTGCCAATACTTTTGTCCAGCCCATTTTTGGGGTTTTGTGTGACATTATGTCATATTTGCTTTTCTGCCTCTGTTTTTATATTTGTTCCAATACATACAAAGGGAATAAACATGTGTATAGCAAAACATGTGTTAATGCAATACCTTTTTTTGTGTGAAATACTTGATTTTCAGGAAAAATATCAAGGGTGCCAACAATTTCGGCCATGACTGTATCACATGCAGAGTAGTAAGCAAGATGTCACTTGTGACATCATTGCTTACTACGTGTGAAATCTGTGAATGATCACAACAGCAATATTCACAACAGCCTTGTACCATGTGACAAGCTGTGACCAATCACAGCTCACTCAGTAGTTTTCAATGGTTGCAAGAATGCAGACAGAGAGAAAGAGAAATGATTGCTTTTATATCCTATATGGGTGTAAAAGCAATCAGTGTAAAAAAAAAAAAAAAAATCTTCATCACCCCCCATAATTAGTACAGTGTCACCATGGTATGTATGTTTAAAAAAAACAAAAAAAACATAAATAATAATATAAAAAAATAAAATAAAAATGTAAAATAAAGTTTAAAAAATGATAATTTTTGGTTATAAACTAATTTGGCTTATTTTTTTTTTTTTACTAAAAAGATAACGGAATACATTTTGGCCAAGATTTATGATGAAAGATTATTTATTTGCAAAATTTTATAAGAAAAACACTTTTTTTTCAAAATTTTTTGACTTTTTCATTTACATAGCAAAAAAAATTAAAATCCCAGCGGTAAATAAATACCACCAAAATAATATCTGTCTCAAAAAAATGGTAAAAAATTCATATGGTTACAGTGTTGCATGACCGCGCAATTGTCATTCAAAGTGTGATAGCGCTGAAAGCTGGAAATTGCCCTGGACAGAAAGGGGGTAAAAGTGTCCGGACAGGAAGTGGTTAATTTAAAAAAAAAAAAACAAGGTGAACAAAGTGATGCACCAAGATTGGTGCATCGGCACTGAGACAATCCCACTGCACACCCGCCGCTTCGTTGTAACGTGGTAGCTGGTGTGAACTAGCCCTTAGTAAGAAAGGAGGTTTGCTAGCTACAATAAAGGTATGCTTTTACCTAACCCTTGTTGTCCTCCTCCCCCCAACTTGAATGGGGTGATATAGATTGATACAGGGATCCTTGGTATACAGGTACATTCTTGTTTGCTGGGAAGGAGTGGTTAGGGAAGTTTAGTTTAGGGGATTATAGTAGGTGGGATAGGTTTATGAGAAGTTCAGTTTTTAGAAGCTCCATTGTGGCTGAAGTGAACAAATGTTCTATTTTTTTTTTTTTTTAGACATGTTCTTGTTTCATATGTACAGATGCAGATAAGTAAAAATACAGTATTTTCCTGTGTTTTATTCAGGCAATACAGAATCCACTGGATTTGCATCTACAGGAAGAGGCATGGCGGGCTGTATGTCCTCTAGTAGCCAAACTTAAACGCTTCTATGAATTCTCTCTACGACTTGGTAATTTGTATTTATTATGCTCTTTATACTCTTTACAATTTTGTGTTTATTATTTTTTTTTTGTGACTACTAAGCTTGGCATCCAAAGTCATTGTGCTGCAATGCAAAGGATTAGTGGTTATTTTCTACAAAATTATAGTACTCTATTATTGACATATCTCTTATAAAATCCCTTAAGAATATATTAGCCTGATTTCTGCGGTTTACCAACTCTCTCTGCTGTCAATATTTGTTGTCCATAGAAAATGCACTGCACAGCCTGCTGGAAGCACTTACGTCACCTCCGTATGCTCCAACCCAACACCTGGAGAGAGAGCAGGCCCTGGCCAAGCAGTTTGCTGAAATCCTGCATTTTACCCTCAGCTTTGATGAGCTCAAGGTATGAGATCACTGGCTGGCATCACACATCCTGCAATGTGTTCAGAAAATTTTTTTTTTTTTTTTTTTTTTTTAGGAATTCCACACCATTTTAGAAACATTTTATTATTCTTTCACTCCCTATACAATAGCGATGTTAGTAGGTTAATTGGATTGTAACTGGACCCAGTGAAGGTATGTTTATAATGAGGGCATTAGAATACTAAACTCCTTTCAGGGGATCAATTGCAGATCTGGTTCTTTGTATAATCTGTAAGTAACCGCATAGTATATCAAGGTTATATTTATACAGGAAATAATAATTATGTTGTATTTATATAGGAGGTCATACAACCTCTAAGAGTAAGGCAAAGTCAAATCTATGGACACGTCTTCCTCTAACCACGTCAATGCATGGCAAATAATAAAATTATTAATGAAGGGGTTCCTGTTAATACCATGGATTCGGCACCCTTTTAGCTAACAGCTGTTATACATGCAGGGTAAAAGTGAAATATGAGCAAATCAAGCCATGTTATTAATCCCATCCTTTTTGAATCCTGGTTCACACTTGTGCGGGCCATGCGGCCTGCGTTTGCGCCAGCACAGCAGCCCATTTTTTTTTTAACATTCTTTATTTATATAGCTTTTTCACAGAACAAACATACAACAATAAGGCAAGTAGGTGGATGCTGCCATAAAAGACAACAAACCAGATTCAGTCCAGATACATAAAAAATCAAATTGCCATCCTCAAAAACAGCATAGTGTAATACACTAGGCCACGAGTCAATACAAACAGACCAGTCTGCTAACCATAAGCAAACACTAACAGCATCCAAAACAGGAAAAAAAAAATAAAAATAAAAAAGGAAAGAAGGGAGAGGGAAGAAAGAAGAGAAATAGAAAAAGGAAAAAAAAGGGTGGGGGGGGAATACAACAGAGAAAGGAAGAAGGGATAAAAGCCACAGCAAAGGGGCAAAAAGAGAATGACGAAGGGACTTCAAGCCATCGAGCGCAGCAGGGAATCATATTCACTTGAGCAGGTAAAGAGAGACCAGTGGATCCATCTATGGCAAAACTGGGCCTCTTGACCCCGAGCCGCCTCCATAATATTTTCCATTGAGTGTATGTCCTTCACCCTAGATAACCACATAGAAATAGAGGGGGGAGCCTCCTGCTTCCAGAGAGCCGGTATACAGGCCCGAGCAGCATTGAGGAGCAAATGCACCAACAAAGAGCGTTTGAAATGTTTCCTAGAAAGAGCAGCAGATATTCGGCAGGGTCATACCCCAGATCAAACTCAGTTAGGCATTTAATAAGTTCCCTAACCTGCGCCCAAAAGGTAGTCAATTTCCTACAAGACCAAAAGATATGCAAGAGCGAGCCATCCTCCTCCATACAGCGCCAGCATACCTTCGTGGCCTCAGGGAAGATCTTATGCAGGATGAGCGGAACCCTATACCACCGTGTAAGCAGTTTATACCCAAATTATCCCATTTATTTGAATGGGCTGCCATTCCTGCATTTTCCTGCAAAAAAAAGTGCATGTACCTTTTTCAAAACGTGGCCCACAGGGAAATCGCATGGTCCTTTTGACCATGATATTTCCCTGAAATTCCTGCAAACGTGCTCCAGGTTGAGATGTGTGGGGGGTGCCATTCAGAATGAATGTCAGTCCTGCGCTGTCTGTGGATTCCCACATCGGCAACCAGTCCACACAGTGTTGAGCAGGGGTGGGCAACTGTGGCCCTCCAGCTGTTGTAGAACTACAAGTCCCATGAGGCATTGCAAAACTGACAGTTACAAGCATGACTCCCAAAGGCAGAGGCATGATGGGACTTGTAGTTTACCAACAACTGGAGGGCCACAGTTGCCCACCCCTGGCTTAGAGTATTACTGGATTGAAGAATCCTGTACATTTTTGTATTTCCACAAAATATAAGGAAGTTATTTTATGCTGTTTCAGTTGGCCTACGATCAAAAATAATTTTGCCCACATGCTAACTCATGAAGTCTAGTGTGTGTTAACGCAAAAGAGAAGTACTCAGCAGCAATACATGCATGTCTCAAAGTTTTGTCACTTTAAAGACCCTGCAACATTAAAATACCTCCTAATTCCTTGACAACACACAGCATTGCTGTGAACGGAGCAGTGTCAGCACTGTCCAGTTGCCTTTTGCTAAACAGCCAAATCCCTCTCACTGCCCTTTCTGACATGATCAAGCTATTTTTACACTTATACTGATAGAATAAAATGCTTTCAGTAATATACTACATACATAGCTTATATAGTATATTTAGTTTATGTACACTTTAAGCTACAGGTTAGCAATTTAAAGAATGGTTAATTAATTGATAAGGACAGATATCTAGTTATGGTAACCACCTAAGCAGAAATCTGTAATGGGAAGAGGCCATTTTAAATATAATGGACAGATAAGTCACAAAAGACTTTTGTTTGACAGATAAACTTTCTCTACATCTGTTTTCTTCAGATGACAAATCCAGCTATACAAAACGACTTTAGTTATTACAGGCGGACTGTGAGTCGTAATCGACTAAATAACTTCCAGGTAAGGTCTGTGACATGACCCTGCTGAAGAATTTCTTCCGCCATGTTAGCATCCTTGTTTAAAGCCTATATTCTTTCTCTACACCTCAGGTGGATGCGGAGTGTGATGTAAACAATGAGATGGCAAATCGCATGTCTTTGTTCTATGCGGATGCTACACCTATGCTGAAAACGCTGAGCAATGCAACTACCAAGTTTGTCTCTGAGGTGAGAGTAATGCAGGCCATACATGGGTCGAATTCCAAATAATTTTACAGCCGAAAATCAAAAACGTTGTTCGCTCGGTAATCCGATGGTGCCATTAATGATTCGAAAATCTGCCGACCAAGTCATAAAGTTCACCCCATATAACAGGCGAAACTTCTGTTCCTTCCAGGTCACGGCTCATGCGCATATTCTTTTCGGAAAAACAATCGTACTATTTGACCATCGAGTTGAAAATCGGTCATTTTTCATGAATTTTCCAACATGCCCGATCACTGAAAAGGGGAGGAGCCATAAAAATCAGCCGGTGCCATTGACCCTCTAACAGAGCGAAAATCAGCCGATTATTCTTAGGTCCGATTTTCGGATGAAAAATCGGTCGAATTTCGACCTATGTATGGCCAGCATAACAGATAGAAAAGAGAAATTATGCCAGTGCAAAAACTGTATAGGTTTCCCCTGTACATAGATTAGTACACTATGTGAGAACTACAGCAATAGAGACTAATTGCATGCACCTAGTTCACACAATGTACTGGAATGTATGTGTTGATCTGAATATATAGTTATATGGCTTTTCTGTACCTCTGCAGAACAAGTCTTTGCCGATTGAGGACACAACAGACTGTTTAAGTACTATGGCATGTGTTTGCAGAGTTATGCTTGAGAATCCGTAAGTATCCTAAAGTCACATGAAGACAACCCACGCCTACTTCTTCTGCCATGTTGATGTCAAATTTCACTCATGTATTTCAATTTAGATAACATTGGACTGTTGTGTGAGCTATGCTATTCTTGTTTGACATTGTTGCATTTCTTTTTTTATCCTATTAGTCCCCCATGTGATGTGGTAACATATTGTCAATTACAGCAATTGTACTGGAAAATGCCAATGTACAAAACATCTAGAAATCTAAAATATGCCCACTTGTTTATTGACCATACAGCATTGACATTATTTGTCAAATTAGCCTTAAATGTCCCTATCTAGACCATGTAAAAATAATTTCAACTACTTCCCAACTGACATACGTATACATACCTCCTTGTTGGGAAGTGGTGATATCAGGATTATGGCTGCAGATCCTGATATCATTCTTTAGTGCCCTTTCTTGTAAAAGTGATCTGAGCAGCTAAACAGCTGCTGGATCACTTTTATAAGCAGCGGAAGGGGCATCCTCATCAAACCCATGCTGCCATTTCCAGGCTGTCCATCCCACCAGGAAGCCTGGGGCTCTGTGGGTGGTCCGCACTGGCTGATCATAGAGATGAAGGAGGAACTTCCGTTCACCGATCACAAGGGATGATGTTCATCCCTTGTAATAGTAATAAAATAAAGTTGATAAAAAAATGGATTTAAAGATCATAAAATAAAAATTTAAAGCGCCCTTGTTCCCTTGCACTCAAGCAAATGTACACGAAGATCGCGTAGTCATACAGTGGGGCAAAAAAGTATTTAGTCAGCCACCAATTGTGCAAGTTCTCCCACTTAAAAAAGATGAGAGAGGCCTGTAATTGGCATCATAGGTAGACCTCAACTATGAGAGACAAAATGAGAAAAAAAAATCCAGACAATCACATTAACTGATTTGGAAAGAATTTATTTGCAAATTATGGTGGAAAATAAGTATTTGGTCACCTACAAACAAGCAAGATTTCTGGCTCTCACAGACCTGTACTTTCTTCTTTAAGAGGCTCCTCTGTCCTGCACTCATTACCTGTATCAATGGCACCTGTTTGAACTTGTTATCAGTATAAAAGACACCTGTCCACAACCTCAAACAGCCACACTCCAAACTCCACTATGGTGAAGACCAAAGAGCTGTCGAAGGACACCAGAAACAAAATTGTAGACCTGCACCAGGCTGGGAAGACTGAATCTGCAATAGGCAAGCAGCTTGGTGTGAACAAATCAACTGTGGGAGCAATAATTAGAAAATGGAAGACATACAAGACCACTGATGATTAGAAAATGGAAGACATACAAGACCACTGATAATCTCCCTCGATCTGGGGCTCCACGCAAGATCTCACCCCGTGGGGTCAAAATGATCACAAGAACGGTGAGCAAAAATCCCAGGACCACACGGGGGGACCTAGTGAATAACCTGCAGAGAGCTGGGACCAACGTAACAAAGGCTACCATCAGTAACACACTACGCCGCCAGGGACTCAGATCTTGCAGTGCCAGACGTGTCCCCCTGCTTAAGCCAGTACATGTCCGGGCCCGTCTGAAGTTTGCTAGAGAGCATTTGGATGATCCAGAAGAGGATTGGGAGAATGTCATATGGTCAGATGAAACCAAAATAGAACTGTTTGGTAGAAACACAACTTGTTGTGTTTGGAGGAGAGAGAATGCTGAGTTGCATCCAAAGAACACCATACCTACTGTGAAGCATGGGGGTGGCAACATCATGCTTTGGGGCTGTTTCTCCGCAAAGGGACCAGGACGACTGATCCATGTACAGGACAGAATGAATGAGGCCATGTATCGTGAGATTTTGAGTGCAAACCTCCTTCCATCAGCAAGGGCATTGAAGATGAAACGTGGCTGGGTCTTCCAACATGACAATGATCCCAAACATACCGCCCGGGCAACGAAGGAGTGGCTTCGTAAGAAGCATTTCAAGGTCCTGGAGTGGCCTGGCCAGTCTCCAGATCTCAACCCCATAGAAAACCTTTGGAGGGAGTTGAAAGTCTGTGTTGCCCAGCAACAGCCCCAAAACATCACTGCTCTAGAGGAGATCTGCATGGAGGAATGGACCAACATACCAGCAACAGTGTGTGCCAACCTTGTGAAGACTTACAGGAAACGTTTGACCTCTGTCATTGCCAACAAAGGATATATAACAAAGTATTGAGATGAACTTTTGATATTGACCAAATACTTATTTTCCACCATAATTTGCAAATAAATTCTTTCCAAATCAGCCAATGTGATTGTCTGGATTTTTTTTCTCATTTTGTCTCTCATAGTTGAGGTCTACCTATGATGCCAATTACAGGCCTCTCTCATCTTTTTAAGTGGGAGAACTTGCACAATTGGTGGCTGACTAAATACTTTTTTGCCCCACTGTATATACATAGTTTTTGTACCACATGTGAGGTATTGTCACAAACGTCAGAGTGAAAGCAATAATTCTAGGGCCAGACCTCTTTAATCTTTAGGGTTTTAAAGCATCACCTATAGATAACTTAAAGGATAACTTCACTTATTTAAATAAAAAATATTAAATGCACATTTTTCGCAGGTAAAAAAAATTGGTTATTTTTTTTTCTTAGGAGCCTGTAAAGCACTGCACCTGCAAGCAGCAGATTGGAGGTGCAATGTGAGGCTCCTGCAGTTTTTCAGTGTAACGGTCTGCCTGTACCTCCAATATGGTCACTTTAGTCCAGGAAGCTCAATGGACTATGAGAGCACTCACCAGCACCCTCACAGTTCATTGAGAACTACAAGCCATCAGCTGCAAAAGCATTCATTCACAGAACTCTGTGAATGAAAGACACGGCCACGCAGTTTTCAAATTGTGACAGCAGGTCGGGAAGATCCCCAGCTCCTTGTCACAGAGGAGAAGGTTCGGGGGGAGAGCAGCGGGAGTGGGAACGTTACATTTTCCACTCTAAAAAGCAGAAACATTTTCCCAAAGATGAACTTATCCTTTGTACTTTAATGTAACTTGTCATCATTCCACAGGCATGCACAATTTTAAAGTGTGACATATTTAGTATCTATTTACTTTGCATAACAATCTTTTATATTTAAAAAAAATGGGTATCATGTTGTGTTTGTGTACACTAAAATTGATTAAAATTAATTTTTTCCTGAAAATTTGCATTTGATAAACCACTGTGTAAATGTTGTGTGCCCTAAAAAACTGCAGCTACAACCATTTTATTCTGCACGGCCTTTGTTTCATAAAACATATGATGGTTGGGGGTTATAAGTAATTTTTTAGCAAAACAAATGCAGGTTTTTATATGTATGTAAGAAATGTCAGAACTGGCCCAGTTTTGAAGTGGTAATAGGCAAAATAATTAAATACCTAAAACATACTGAAATTTACAAAGACTCCTGGTCATGAAAGGGTTAAAAAAAACTAACTATTTATTTCCCCTTATTTTCCTTACATGCACTGCATACCATGTTCTTAATTTTTTTTTTTTTTCATTTTATACCTCCTTTTCCCAGTGGTTACCGTAGCCGTTTCACCAGCAATGAGACCTTGCTGTTCTGTATGCGAGTCATGGTTGGTGTAATTATCTTGTATGACCATGTCCATCCTGTTGGAGCATTTGCAAAAACCTCTAAAATTGATGTGAGTATTTAAGTGCAAAGCTGTGATATAAAGATCTGTAATGTGAAAGTGTCAGTCACAGCACACTAAAGCGAGTAGTATATTTTATAATGCATAGTGGTAATTTTGAGTCATAAAATGTCAAACTATTGCTGAACTCCCCTAAATGGTAGTTGTCTGGTTGTCATCCTGTTCCTTGTCTTCAATACTTTGAGTCACTGACCAGAAGCAAGTGTGCAGGTAATGACTTCTGATTGTCCTTAATCGTTTCCTGCCCCGAATGATTGTACTGAAGCTTTTCCTGCCCCGAATATTTGCTTTGGATCAGAAAAAATATACAGGGCTACTGGGTCATCATAGAGTCAGCTAGCAGTTTCATGTCAGCAGCAAGTGCAGATACTGGGAGAAATTCAATAAAGCATTTGCACCACTTTTCTGGCAGTATGGCTGTTTATATAGGTCATGCACCAGATTCAAAAAGTTGTAGACACTCTTTATGAATTCCCCTTTTTGCTTTTCTCCCATGGAACATTTATATAGCCAATGGTAACTTTAATCATTTTTTTAGGCTCCATGCACTCTAGCGTGTTTTTAAGATCCTAGAAGCTGTTATTAGCATTTTTTTTGCTCTTAGAATCTAAACAGTATTATCCGCTGTGTCCATGCACACTACTTTAGGCTATTAGTATTTGTTGAGCTTCAGCATCTAAAAGCAGAAAAAGCCTTTTCCCAGCAGAAAAAAATGCTAAACGCTCCTAACAGCTTTTTTCTAGCTTTTTTTCTACATGTACTGTAAAAATGCTAATAAAACGCTAATGATTTTTAAACAAAAAACACTAGTATGCATGGAGCCTTAAGTATTTCTCAGCTCCCAAAAGTACTGTGCATATTAACTAATACCCTATATTGCCAAAAGTATTGAGAGGTCTGCCTTTATACACGCACATGAACTTTAATGGCATTCCAGTCCTAGTCCATGGGGTTCAGTATTGAGTTAGCCCACCCTTTGCAACTATAACAGCTTCAACTCTTCTGGGAAGGCTGTCCACAAGGTTTAGGAGTGTGTCTATGGGAATGTTTGACCATTCTTCCAGAAGGGCATTTGTGAGGTCAGGCACTGAAGTTGGATGAGAAGGCCTGGCTCACAGTCTACGCTTTAATTCATCCCAAAGGTGTTCTAGCGGGTTGAGGTCAGGACTCAGTGCAGGCCAGTCAAGTTCCTTCATCCTAAACCCACTCATCCATGTCTTTATGGACCTTGCTTTGTGCACTGGTGCGCAGTCACGTTCAAACAGGAAGGGGCCATCCCCAAACTGTTCCCACAAAGTTGGGAGCATGAAATTGTCCAAAATGTCTTGATATGCTGATGCCTTAAGGCTAGGTTTACATCTGTGTGGGTGCTGCCGCTGCGGATCCGCACGAAAATAGTGCGGCTGCACCACCCACACAGAGAAATGCGGACCCGTGGGTGGGTGCCATTAGTTCTTATGGCACACTGGAAAACGCAACCATACTGGGAACCAAGGTTCCTGTGCGAGCTACATTTTCGGAATAAGTGAAGGGACTTCTTTCCTGCATGTCACGGGCATGGGAGTCCGTTCAAATGAATGGGCTCTCGTGCCCGTGCAAAACGCGGCCGCATATATGTGAACCGGGGATTAGAGTTCCCTTCACTGGAATGAAGGGGCCAAGTCCCAAACCCTGCAAAACAACCCCACACCATAATCCCCCCTCCACCAAACTTTACACTTGGTACAATGCAGTCAGCTAAGCAACATTCTCTTGGCAACCACCAAAACCACGTCTGCACACTGTGCGCTTCAGCATGCGCTGCACTCGCTATGTCATTTTATGTGGCCTACCACTTTATGGCTGAGTTGCTGTTGTTCTCAGCTGCGTTCGCTTTGTTATACCGCTAACAGTTGACCGTGGAATATTTAGTAGCAAGGAAATTTCATGGATGGACTTATTGCACAGGTAGCAACCTATCATGTACCACGCTTGAATTCACTGCTCCTGAGAGTGACCCATTCTTTCACAAATGTTTGAAGAAGCAGTCTGCATGCCTAGGTGCTTGATTTTATATACCTGTGGCCATGGAGGTGACTGAAACACCTGAATCCAGTGATTTGGAGGGGTGTCCCAATACTTTTGGCAATATACTGTATTATGTACGGTAATGCCAAAGTTAGGTTTTCTTTAAAGGGATGCAGTCATGGCAAAAAAAAAAATAGGAGCTGTCATTGCTGACTTGTTTTTTTATCAGTGAAACATTCAGGACTGCCATCCTGATCCTGCCCTCACTGTAAGTCTCTGATCTAAAAGGAGCATGCAGAATTGGAGTTTAGATTTTTCATACTTTACTGACAGCATGCTTGTTCCAGTGACTCTTTAGTTATAACCAAGATTAGAATGACAACCCTGAAACCAGAACTTAAAAAAAATAAAGTAAGGCATGGAAGCTCTATTATTCCTATATTTATACATTGGTCTTAAAATGGAACTTTATCTGAGCACCACAAACCAACAAATTCATATTCAAGACATATTCAAGGCAAACCCACCCATCAATCCATGTCTCTGCTTTATTTTGTTGAGAAATCACCCCCCATAAATTCCTGGCTGTGGCCATCTTGAGCAAGGGCAGATGATTCATGTAGCATTCACTTCCTGAAATCAATTTGTCCTTAGCTCAGGCAGAAGGGTGTGCTTAGCTAAGAAAGCCACTCCTCCCCTCTTCCAGATGAAAGAAAAAAATGCCAATGAAGACTCCTAGGATGCATAATATCATTTTGGCCTAGGACAGAAACCAGAAAGTAACTGAAGAAATGTAAAAAAAAAAAAGAAAAAAGTTTTTAAAACAAGTAAATATAATATACCTTCCTATCTATTTACTACTAAGGCTAGCAGCATAAGTATTAAAAATAGTTAATGTTGATTGAAAGTGTAACGTTCCGATTTAAGTACCATCGCAACAAGTGCTAAATCCTTACAAACAGAAGAAATGACAGCATTGTAAATGAACTGGCAACTCTATTGAATATCCATTGCATGTGCAGGTAGCACACACATATTAAAGACAGAACTTGTATGCAGTTCTCTATATACAGTGGATGAGTGCTGCCTTTGTTTGCAGATGAAAGGCTGCATCAAGGTACTGAAAGACCAGCCATCAACAAGCACAGAAGGGCTTCTCAATGCTCTCAGGTACTGTATGTTTAAATAGCACTGGCACAGATGGGTTAGTGAAGGCAGCATGTTCAGTAATATCATCTCTTCTCTTCTTTCAGATATACAACCCGTCACCTGAATGATGACACCACATCCAAGCAGATCAGAGCTCTTCTACAGTGAGCCATTGTACGTGTGTCCCTTGCGCTACCACTGCTTGAAACAAAAAGATGGGTCTATGTCTAAATAAGTGGCTACCTTAGGTCTTCATCTAGGCATCCCTCTGCTGTGCAGAGAGACTGTGTACATCACTGGTCTTGTACTACTGCCTTAATGTGCTCTGCATTATTTTGCTGCAGAGCATTGGCAAGTCACCCGTCCTGATAGGTCTATTTATCTTGTTGCTGTAGTCAGTGTGGTGCTCATCAGTTCTGTCCCCCTCTCTCTTTTTTTCATTTAGTAATGGTTTTACAGTGTTTTTCACCTGCATAATTTTGCTGTGTGTATAGTTGATCTGTATGTGAATGGCCATCAAGCAGTGTTGGCTTAGCCATTATAGAAAGAATGTGCTAAGAATAATATATAGGATGCCATTGCTGACCCATTCTTTACACAGCAGTCCTGGTGATCCAACTGCTTCAATACTTTCTGAAACGAAGTATTAAACCTGAAGCAGCTCGGCAGTCAATATTCAGCAAAGGCAACCTACATATGTTTCTCATTTTGAGTTTCCTTTCAAAATTACCAGAGGATCCCTTTTTAAGATCAATAAGTCCCTATAATAAGGCTGACACTTAAAAAGTTGGCTACACAGGGTACCAGATTGCCTCACTATGCAGGGATTTCAAAGCAATATCAAAGCAATTTTAGGGTACCTAAAGACTTGAGATTGGACAAGGGTTCTCTCTGATGCCCCAGGCAGGTCTCTGTTAAGGGGCAACAAGCAACTGATTAGAAAGCCTTTTAAATCTGCAATTACTCCTTCACCCCACTTTCCCTGGTAAGGCAGTACCAGGAGCCTCTTCTGCACCATCTGCCTCTCCTAACCCCTCAATTTTGTATTGAAGTAAACTTGTCAGCTTGGCAGAGCAGAATATAGGTTTATGGAACGCGCCGCCGTATGTCTTAGAGTATGTGCCTTGAGGGAAGTCAGATTGTACTCTCACGTCCAACCAGTTTGTCTGAGGCCGACTTAAGGCAGTAAAATCTAGCCAACTCTTTTTTTTTTGTTAAAAACCTAAAAGAGTTAAAAGCTCTGTCAGGCTTTTATTGTTGTCTGTGTCCCTAATGGAAAAAATGCTCCTGTATTTGTTCTAGGGACAATGGTCCCTGGGACAAAAAGCAATGGAAAATATGATTATACAATTAAGTAGAGGAGGTTTCTATCCATGGGAACACTGGTTCAAGTGAGAACTTTAACAAGTGAGAGTTCTCTTATTTTAAAGAGGTTTCCTCTAACTTCCTGAAATATCTCCAGAACAACAAAAACAACCACAGCAACTTCACCGATCTGTAGATTATTGTTGATGTACACAGTCTCGTAATGTCAAAATAGCCTCTGTGTTCCTCCATTAGGGCAGAGTTCTGTGTTTTATCCTCCTTGACACCCCCCCTTCCCGCAGAGTCCTGTGTATGTTGCAACTCTGCTGAGTTTGATGTATACGATTCCAAGTTATTCCTGTAACTGATCTGTCACTGTATACTGCACATCACCACTGCCAAGCTGGTGAGATACGATGGCCACGAAATATTTACTTACCAGCCAAATAGGAGACTTCAACATCTGGACAATATTTCCTCAAAGAGCGCTGTCTAAAGAGTTATATATAGATTCTTACAAGCACACCGTGTTCAGGGCGATTGGTGCAATATTGGATACACAGGAGGGTGACAAGGCTTGTATTCAAACCTGGAGCAACGATTCAACCAAAAAACATAAATATTGCACAATTATCTATCACCAGGTAGAAAAGTAGTTTATGCCAGTCCCTGAGCCTGGTATTCCATATGTATGTGTGGACACTGTATATACAAAAGTCATATAATGTAGTGTACTTGTGTCAGAAATGTTACGTTGATATCAGTGCTAAGGGTACATGCACATGGACGTTGCCTATGGACTCATGAGACCTTTTATCTACAACTGTCTCTGCAGTGATTCCTCTGATAAACCTGTCTCAATGAAACAATAAACTCTGTTCTGGTTAGTGCCTGTCTGAATGAATTACTTTTCATATTAGTCATAAAGAAAAAGACCAGCAGGAGGCAGAAAGCAACCTATAAATGTGTGAAACAGCTTCTGGTTTTCAGCATGTAGTGTAGTGTTCAGTTAAATAATGACAGACCATGCTACATGAGGAATATGTCATTTATAATTTCTGTTCAAATTGGTGGCAAGTCACTGCTAGCTCGTTCAAGGGGATTTCTAGCTTTTTCAGTTTTGTTTGGTGCGGAGCCAACCACAAAAGGTTGGTATCTGAGTGTACAATCTTGTTTAGATCTACAAACTATGTAGGGCAAGGGCCAGGACACAAATAAATAGGAAGGTTCTGATTAGATTTTCATAGTTCTGGAAAATCAACCGTTGATTTTATAGCTATATTTTCACACTTACAGTTCTTAAACACTATCATATTATTATGCACAGTGCAAACCTTCTAAAGCCCCACAACGAAAATATCGGACGAATAATCGTCTGGATTTTGTTTTTTTTTTGCATGCTAGTCTGCATCTGAAGAGGTTACCTAAATTACGAAAATTCTCGTACGACAGGATAAAAATTCGGAAGTGATGTAATGTATTGTATTTTCAGACGCAAGCTATACTGATTAAATGAAAAGCATACGATTTGGTACCGCACAAGAAAAATTTTCATGCTTGCCCCTTCAAATAATTTCAGGCAAAAGCTGTGTACCGTGATTGCTTTGAAAGCGGTATTTTTCATACGATTTTCTGATCGTGTGTACAAGGGTTAACTGAAAGCAATGCTCTTAATGGGGTTGATTTACTAAAGGGAAATTCACTGTGCACTGCAGATCTGAGGGGAAGCTCAGAAATGCTCTTTCCTATCATCCAATCATGTACAAGCAAAAATGATGTGGTTTTTTTTTGGATATAATAAATTTGCATGTCAGATAACTGTCTGGGGAATCAACAGGTTAGCTTAAAGCAGAACTTCACCTTAAAAAGGGAGGTTCCACTGATTTTCCTCCTCTAACAGGTTTGGCACTTTTTTTCTTTTTTTTTTTAAGGTGGGGGAGTAAGTTACTTATTTCTGGCAGATATTCACTCCCATTGGAATCAACTAGGCAATCCCAGTAGTTCTCCAGCCCACCCACCTGCAAATCTCCTGGGAGACACACACACAAGTTCCGGGACCATTCAGAGAGTAAAGTGTAGTTTTGAAGCCACAAGGAGTCACAACTGGCTTCCCAAACTCAACATGACAGCACCAGGGACCCGAAGACTAGTGAAGAACTGGCATGGGTGAGGATAGCACCGGAACTCTGGACAGATGTCTCTTAAAAGTCAGCAGCTACAGTATTTGTAGCTGCTGACTTTAAACATTGTAAAAAAAAAAAAAAAAAAAAAAAACCTGCAACCCCTCTTAATGCAGTATTTTATATTAAAGATTGTACCAGCAAGATCAGTGATGAATCTAAAAACATCAGAAAAGTTGATAAAACAGAGGGATAATAGAAATCTTGGGAGTTTCAGAATCTAGAGAGTCCTTAAAGTGGAGTTCCACTCACCCTGTCAAAAAATAAAAGGCAGCAGCTACAAAAACTGTAGCTTCTGACTTTTAAAAAATAGTCACTTACCTGTCCCTCAGTCCCGTGGCGTGTCCCCCGCAGCCCGTTTCACCGGCCGTCCTGTATTCCAGGAGGCCGGCATCTTCAGTGTGGGCACCCGGCTGTGATAGCTTGCGGCTTCACAGCCAGGTACCCACTGCGCATGCACGAGTAGCGCTGCGCTTCATGAATGGTCCTGTAGTCTTCTGGGACCTGTCACGTGTCTCAAAAGACTACAGGGAGGGAGGACACCTTCCGTTTCCAATCGCCTAGGTGATGGGACCGGAAGTGGGAGCAGGTACCTGTCAAATTCGGGTACCTGCCCCCCAAAGGTGCCAATCCTTAATGGGGAGTGGGGCAGCAGTCCTTAAAGCGGAACTTCCCCTTTTGGGTGGAGCTCCGCTTTAACCTGGAAAAGCTTTGGGAGTTTAGACTTTCAAAACAAAGACACATGAATGGTCTAGATCTGTGGCTCCCTAAGCAGTGAAAATATAAGCTAATGACAGCTCTGGGGCCCTGTTCTCTGTTCTGCCCCTCATGCACTCATTGTAGCACTAGACTGTGGAAGGCATGGGAGCGGCTATCTCAGGCTCCCTGTGGCTCACTGAGACTGAGCCAGCTGTCGGTCCAGGCATCTGGGTGGATTTTTCCCGAGTCTGACATCAACCAACAGCTTTGGCCATACACCTTTAATAAATGCAGGTAGCGGGGCTCAGGAACAAGTCCGCATCAGTGCCCCCATAGGAAGCAGCTTCCCATGGGGGCACTCGCTGGGGAGGGGGGGGATGAGCCAGCTTAGACCTAAGAAAAGAAGGTTCAGAGCCGCTCTGCAATTCCATTGCATTGCATAGAGCAGGCAAGTATAATCCTGTTTTATTTTATATAAAAAATTACAATCACTTTTTTTTTTAATGCACAATAACCAAAAGGGCTTAAAATTCTCAAATAAAGCTACAGATACTTCACAAATGTGCTTATACTATCCACTTGCAGTCAATTTAATATATTTACACAAGATTTTTTAAATGAAGACCAACATTATAATATCTGCCTTTATCTCTAGTAGTATAACCTGATAAACTCTGGAATCAGTTGAACAATATATTTCTGCATGTCAGTGTCCCATTACTATTTCACACAGTTGAAAGTGTCTGTGTACAAAAGGATTTATTCTTTGTCCTCACCTTAGGCTAGCTGCCAGCCAGCAGGGAGTGTCATGCTTTCCCCGCGTGTAAAACAAAGGCTTTGCCGCCAAGAAATATGGAGCGCAGAGTGTGGCGGGAGTTCAGTATAAGAAATTAGGGTGGGGCGGGCAACAGTATGAGGAAGTGAGTTAATTTACTACTTAATACCTCTCTGTTCACAACATTAAAAAGACAAAAAAAAAAAGCA